CTTCCTTCCTAAGACTCTAGAATTCCACAAAGGATAAAATCAGTGACATGGCTCTTTACTTCCTTTTCCCCACAATCTTCTTCCCATCCTAGCCCCTCTTGCCTCACTACAAAGCTGTTCATCTTCTTTTCCTTGTTTTCACTCCTAACCCTAACATTCTCCCAGATTCTCTGAATTGCACTCCATTCCCTTTCCCCTAATGCGTGCGCGCGCACACACACACACACACACACACACACACTCACACTCACACTCACAAACTACATCTCCAAGCAAACTCCTTATTTATTGGGATGCCAAGCACCTTCGCTGTCTAGCATTCTGAGCCAGACAAGTGTTCCTGGCCAGAAAACTGCCTCCTTTCTTAAGCCAGGAATTAGGATTTGGACACTGAATTCCCTCCAGTGCCCCTGAAATTCTGCTGCTTATACCAAACTAGAATGCTTTCCATGAGTGAGACTGAGAAATGCCAGTGTACCAGGACCACAGCACAAGCTATGATTTCAAAGGTACAGGTATAGCAGAGCTGCTGATAGCTGGTAGGGCACAGACTCAGTGGTTCCAAGTGGTGCTAAAAATGCCCCGAGGCTCTTATACGTACAATCAACCCAATCCAATCCTATTCCACCCCTACCACATTTGGTAACTAAACTGGTATCTTTTTTTTCAATCCAAGGTTTCATCAGCTTTAGAGATGGAAGGGGCTTTAGAGACAAAATCATCAGATTTAAATAAGTAAGGAATTTAGAAGTCACCTACTCCATCTCCTCCATTTTACAGGTAAGGAAACTGGGCCTCAAAATAGTGAGGGGACATGCCAAGGTCACACAAATAGGAAACTATAATGATGAGATCCAGCCTCCTTGTTTTACAGATGAAGAAATAGAAACTCAGATAAATTGAAAAGGCCAAGATTACAAATGCAAGTTAGTTACTGAGCCAAGTAGGTATTCAAACCCAGGTCTCCTCTGATTCCAAATGTGGTGTTCTTTCGGGTGCACTAAACCAAGCCTACTCCCACAAGGCTGAAAGTTGCCTTTTAATGACTTCTTTTGCTAGAATGTTAGAGCTGGGAAGCATTCTAGAAATCCCCTAGCCCAGCCCCTTCATTTTACAGATGAAGAAACTGAGGCTCAGAGAGACAACATAGAACCTTGTGTGCTTTTCCAGGACACCAGCTATGACTTGAAAGTGACCTTCCAAAGCTAGATATTGTTTAGGTTAAAAAGAAAACTTTCCAAATCAATCTGTCAATCAAGTATGCATTGAGGACTGCACCAGACATCTCCTTTGAGGTTGCCCTTGATGTTCATTTTCATCTGACTTTACCAAGATACACAGCCCACTCTGTCCTCCTCCCCTCCCCCCCCCACTAGTCCCTGGTCACAAAGGCAAAGTGATTCTTTGAACATCCAAATGTATAGAAATCCACCCTGCCTCCACCGGCATCCTCACAAAGCTCCAAACTGCTCCTTCCCTCGAGGCTTCTCAAGCTCCCTCCGTCCTTGAGGACTAGCCCCAATTAAGAATGGTCCTTTCTGCAGTCTTTTCAAGTATGTAAAGCTACTTGCTAACCTTAATTACAGTGGGAAAGTGACCTGGATAATGTGTGTGTTTGGGGGGAAGGGAGAGGGAGAGGGAGATGAAAGGTGAGTAGGCAGCCTTCCTACCTTATTCCTCCATGCTCACCCCTCCTCTCTACAGACAAGTCCCACCCAGATGGGCTGTACTTGGGCTGATCATAGAGATCGTAATAAAGGAGTCCCTTGAACTTTCTCCCCATACAATCTGGGCCCCTTGCCCCCAAATCTCTTCCTCAGTCCCCTCCCTAAACCTAGAGCTGCTTTCCCCCCATTTACTTTGCCCTCAAAGTTCCTGTCCTTATCTCCTTTCTCCTCCTCCCTCCAAGATCTACCTCACTCTACTTCATCCCACTGAAAAGAAGGAAGGAAAGAAAGGAATTAAGCATTTATTGAACACCTACTATATTAGTATAATATCGTAGATGCTATATAATATAGTATTTAATGTAATATAATATTATACTATATTAAACACTTACTATGTTATTTCATTTGATTCTCACAATTCTGGGAGTTAGGAGCTATTATTATATAGTTATAGTTAAGGGAACTTCGGCACAAAGACTTGCCCAGGATCACACAGCTAGTAAATGTCAGGGCAGGATTTAAAGTCAGGTCTCCCTGACTCCAGGCCAGTGTTCCAGCCCCTGTGCCATCCTAGAAATCAGCTAACCCAACCACCTCTTTACATTCAAGTAAACTGAAGCTTATAGAAAGTTAAGTGACTTGACTAAGGTCATACAAGAGGCAAGAGGCACAGTCAGGATTTAAACCCCAGTTCTTAGCCTGCTGAGCCAGTGTGCAGTTTCTATTATACCGTGTCCCAAGGCCAGAAACTGTTTAGCTTTTGTTTTTGTTGGTCCCCTCCCCCTTACCCAGTCCAAAGATTTGCACATATTAAGTGGGTGTTTGTTGAATTGAAATTCTAAGAGCCTGTTTTCCTCTTTCCCAGCTAATTGAAGAGGAAATAAGTGAGACTAGCATTCTGTTTCCCACATGCCCCCTTCCACACTCTCTTTAACCACTATTCCCTTTCCCTCCTGAAATATTCCCCTTCCCTTTTTTCCCTTCTTCCAATACTTTCCCTCATAGATTTCCTTCCCCTAATATTCCCTTAAATGCACCATTCCCTCCCCTAATAACTCCCCCATATTCTATGCGCCCCAATATCTTTTTCCTTCCCATAACGCCCCTCTATCTCTTTTTTTGCTTTTAGATATAAGCCTAGTTTTTAATTAATCTATTTAATTCAATATTTTGCGGTCCTGGTAACTAGCTCTTTCCCCATAATCTTTAAGTGCTCAGACTAAATTGGGGATTACAAATCCATCTGATGATGAGGTATGAGGTAGGATAAGGAAGGCAGGGGAATGACCCAATGCCATTCCCAGGCATTAAGAAGAAAACATTCTCCAGTCCAATCCAAACACCTTTCCAGGCCAACCTAGAGCAACTGGGCGCGATAAGGTGTGGGTCTGCCTGGAGGTCTTAAGGAATATAAGCAGAGGGCTGGGTACCAACCAGCAGAGACTGTTCCTGCAGCACCTGTCTTCGTTCCAGTCTGACTCAGTGCCACCCACCCCAGGATGACCCTTCTAGCCACTGTCATCCTCCCATCCTCTTTGTTTCCTCTGCTCATGCTTCTAGGTCCCTGCTCCCATCACACCCCTAATCATACCCATTAGGAACCACACCACCCCCCAGCCAGTGGTATTCCTCTTCCTCTTCTGCAAAATCCCTTTTCAACACCTTCTGCTTAGGCATGCCCTCCTGAGTCATCCAGGACCCTAAACTAACACTAGAAAGGCTAAGGAAATCAAACTTTTCTGCTATACCCCTCCCCATCCCCAAAATGCCTGGAAATCTCCTTTCCAGGCAGTCTGTGTTTCTCCTTTCTTGTCTGTCTCTGTCTCTGTCTGTCTCTGTCTGTCTCTCTGTCTCTGTCTCTCTCTCTGTCTCTTTCTCTGTCTCTCTCTGTCTCTCTCTCTCTCTTGCCTATACAATAATCATTGTGAGGTCTTCAGGGCCTAGAAGAGTGGGAAGAGGAAGTCCAGAACCACCCTATATTCTATAGAACAGCAGCTCCCTTCTCTCCCCAGACCACCGTCAGGCACACATTCCCTTAGCCTTCCCAGTCTATGCTCCATGGGGACAGGCTAAGGATTGATAGTCGACAGGCACCACGAGACATTCTCTTCCTACAGACCTTCACTCATCCCTTCACACACATACACACACACTCACACACACACACACAGAGTAACACACAGTTGGAACTCTATACAGCAGCTTGCCATCCCTACTGAACACTACTGTCACACTCCCTGACATCCTTGCCCTCTCCTATAAGCATCAGACCAGGGACTCTCTAGCTGGCTGGCTGGCCTCTGGCACCATTTCACAGAAGCACCGCCCCCTTCTTCTGGCCTTATTCCTATTTTGCCCCCTCTCTCCAGCCCCTTCACCTCTCACACTCCCACCATCCCTTCTGTACCCATCTTTCCAAATGCCCACAGTCACCTCAAACATAACATTGACCAGATCTGAACACTTGCCCATATACCTTTTCCTTACCTGAATCTCATCAGCCTCCTCCACCCTCCCCATCCCATCACCTTGGCTGCTGGGCTCTGGCCACACTAACACCCATAAATTGTGAGGCATTGAAGAACTGCCCCTCCTCCTGCTTTCTCCCGAACGCGCACTTTCCAGTTAAAAAGTAAAATAAAAAGTGAAGAAGAGTGAAAGGGAACTGATTCAGTGAGACCCTCCCCATGGGGTCCCTCTCAAGGCATCTGCCTGAAGCCTCAAGAGAGGAGACTAAGTATATGCCCTGACTCTTTGAAATGATTTCTGGCTCTTTGGACATTAAACACAAAATATCAATTAGAAATGAAAGGATCTTTGATCACCCACTCAAAAGTCCTTGTTTTACAGATGAAGAAACTAAGATCCAGGGAGGTAAACCTAGAGTTCTAGCTCCTAGAGTGCTAGAGCTGGAAGGGGGCTTGAGCCCAAATCCTTCATTTTATAGATAAGGAAACTGAGGGCCCAAAGAGTGATGGAACCAAGATTATGCAGTTAGTTAGTGAGTGAGACTGGACTAAAACCCAGGTTTTCTCATTTCCCCACCCCATCTTTTCTCATTAGCTCTGACTCTGCATAAGGAAAGACCTCTCCTGCCATCAACATTCCTCCTACTATCCTTCCTTGTCAGACCCCGGGCCCGAGTAGGAAGGAAAGAAAAAAAAAAAGTAACCCCGGAGGCCACAGAGGCTGAGGGAGGGATTGCCTTTTTCAGATGCCCTCAGCTCCTCATCTCTGCTTCGGCAGCCTCCCTTTGCTCCAGTCTCACTCTGCCTGCTGTTTACGGATCTATTCCTCCTCCCTGGTTGCCTCCCCCATCCGTACCATTACCTTCCACTTCCAGCACAGTCAGGACCCCGGTAGAGGAAGCCTCTCCCTGCTCGTTCCTGGCAGTACAAGTGTATGCTCCTGCATCCTGGGCCCTGCAGCCATGGAGCCAAAGGCAGCTGGGGTCCGGGGATGGGTCAGGAAGGGGATCCCCATCTCGGAACCAGCTGAGGGCAGGCTGGGGTGTCCCACTCACCGCCACCTGCAGCCTCACATCCCGGCCAGAGAAAACGGCTGTGTTCTTCAGCTGCCGAAGGAAGACTGGGGCTCCCGCTGTTGTTCCCCGGACCCCAGTTCCAGCCCCAGCCCTAGCTCCAGCCCCAGTCCCCACCTTGGCCCTCTTTGGGGGCACACCTGGGCTGGGGGGTGCCCTTGGGCTGACAGATTCTCCCCGGGTCCCCCGGGCTTTCTGCATAGCTACTGCAGAGGGGATGAGGGGTGGGAGACCCTGGAGCCCACAGGAGCACCTGGGTGGAGTGGAGTCCTGAAGGAGGAGTCCCCAGTGGGCCTGAGCAGCCCTGTCTTCTGCCGGCCTGTGCCACCCAGAAGGTCACCGGGGCGGCTGGTGGCTACGCCTCGCCTGGGGGCTATTTTTAGGCCCCCAGCTCGGGTTGCCTGTGTAATAGCAAAGGGAGGGGGCAGCAGAAGGGGGAATATGGACAGGGCCCCTTCTATCCTCCTTCCAGCCTTCACCCCCCACACTCTTCCTTACTCAAGGATTTCATGCTAATCATTAACTCTCCTGTTTATGAAGCCTCTCCCATACCAACCCCCTCCCCCCAACCCTAGCCTACACTGTCAGAGAAGAGGATTATTATCTGAGTCCTATTCTATCCTCCTCACTTAAGCCTGATGTAAACTGTAGAAAGAAAAGGAAAGGAATGTGGTGGGGGAGAAGGGATAGGAGATAAGGTGGGGGAAAGGAAAATGAAGAACTGAGCAGACAAACCATAAGAATCATGGACTCTCTAGAGTCAAAGGGGCCTCAGGGATCACCTAGTCCAACTTTCACCCAAATCAAGAATCGTCTCAACTGCAATCCCAACAAGTGGTCATCTAAACTCTACTTGAAGACTTCTCATGATGGGGACCTCACTACCTATATATAGTTCCTATTTCACAGGTTTGTTGTGAAAATAAAATGAGATATTGTATATAAAATGCTTTGTGAACCTTAAAGTTCTCTGCATCAGTTGTGAGGATGATGATGGTGATGATGATAATGATGGTGATGATGATGATGATGATGATAATGGTGACTCAGACCACCACCCCACAAGACAGCCCATTTTATTGATGGGCAGCTCTAACTGCTCATAATTTTCTCCTTATATAGAGCTAAGATCTAACTCTGAAACTTCCTGTCGTTGATCCTCATGCATAACAAGTCTCATCTCTCTTCTATGTAACCACCCTTTAAATTCTTGAATACAAACAATCAAGTTCTCCCTAAGTCTCCTCCTCTCCAAGATACACTTTCCCAGTTCTTTCAATAGGTCTGTGCAACAATGGTCTCTGAGCCCCTCTCCACTCTGGTCTCTTCTCTTTGATCCATTTCCAATTAGTCAATTTTGTTACTAAAATGTGTCACTCAGAATTGAACATAATATTCTAGATGCCTGACCAAGGCAAAACACCATGGAACCTGCCTGTCTCCCCCACCTCCTTCCTGATGCCCATTTCCCTGGCAGATCTTTAGCCTAGGCAATATCCTCACTTCATTTTTCTCACCCATGCACCCAAACTAACACCCTATGGGTTCAGGATCTCAGGACTTTAGCCTCTTTCCTCCCTATTTCCCTTCAGCTGGTTAGGGGATCCCAAGCCCAAACTCCCCACCCTACATATTCCAACTTCCCTCCTCATTCTCTCTGCCTATATATTGTGGAACAAAAACCTTGATAGGCTGACTAAAGCTGTTGGCTCTATGGAGTGAGAAGAAACTGAAGGAAGGCCAGAGAGGAGGTGGACAGAGAATGGAATGTTCCCCAAAGCCTAGAGTCTTCTCCTAGGCTCAAGGGTATAAGAACACCTCTGAATGCTCTGATTCACAGGAAGGAAGGAAGTTTTTATTAAGTACCTACTATGTGCCAGGCATTTTACAATTATCTCATTTGATCCTCACAACAACCCTGGGAGGTAGTTGCTGTTATGATCTTCATTTTACAGTTGAAGAAACTGAGGCAGATAGAAGTGAAGTGATTTGTCCAGGGTCGTAGAGCTTACTAGCTGCATCTGAGTCTGGATTTCAACCCAGATCTTTTTGACCCCAAGCCCAGCACTATGTGCATTATGGCACTTCTAGCCAACTCTATAAGTGGAAAGCAATGGGAAAGAGAGAGAACCATTACACTGAGACTTAGTCTGATCAAGAAGGAGTAACTACTTGACAACATGACTAATAAGGAAATGTTTTGCATGATTGCACATGTATAACCTATATCAAATTGCTTAGCATCTCAGGGAGAGGGGGAGGAGAGGGATGGAGAGAGAAAATTTGGAACTCAAACATTTTTTAAATGAATGTTAAAAAATTTTACGTGTAATTGGGAAAAATAAAATATTATTTAAAAAAAGAAGAGGTAACTACTTAATAACTGGGCTACCCAGTTAACCTGAGTCTCATCAGTAAAATGCGCATGATACTATCTACCTTACCAACTTAACAAATTTGTTCATTCACATTCATTGAATCACTTATTCAATGAATATCTGTTAAATGCTTTAAGAATGAAGTACAATGCTGGGAACCAAAGCAATATAAAGATGAGTAAAGGTATTACCCATGTCCTAATGTTGCATTTAGTGAATAAAATTTACCTTATGAAGTAGAACATAAGCTTTTTGAGGGCAGGGATTATTTCATTTTTGTGTTTGCATCTCTATTACATAACACCATGCCTGGCATATAGTAGGGCCTTAAAAAATGTTAATTGAGTGTATCTTTGTGACAAACAAGAAAAATATAGTTTGTAACCTAGAAAACATAATAGGAATATCAATTATTGCAATTAGGTTGTTGCCTGAATGTTTAGCCTGGAGAACACTTACAGGGAATCATTCAAATACTTTAACAGGTGCAGGTGACCTGTGAAAGACAGATAAGACTGATTCTATTGGGTTCCTGAGGGCAGAGCTAGTAGCCATGGGAAAAAGCTGAAGGAAACAGCTTCTGGTTCAGTATTAAGAAAAACTTCCTAACAATTAGAGCTACCCAGAAGAGGAAAGGCTTTCTTCTCACTAGAGGGCTTAACTAAGAGGCTGCATGACCACTTCAATTCAATTCAAAACATTCATTAAGCGCCTACTATATGCCACATACAATGCTAAATTCTGAAGATACAAATGAGAAAAAAACAGTTCCTACCCTCAAGGAGCTTATAATTTAACAGGGCAAGACCACACACAAAAGAAAGCTGGAAAGGAAAGAGATATTATGTAGAGAGGATTTTTGTGAAGTGTAGACCAAGATGGCCTCTAACTCTGAGTGTGTGTGTGTGTGTGTGTGTGTGTGTGTGTGTGTGTGTTACATGTAAGGTAGGGAATGAGAGAGAGAGAGACAGAGAGAGAGAGAGACAGAGAGAGAGAGAAACTAGTCCTATAAAAACCATTCAAGCATTAGTCTTATGAATTGTGTGTCCAGAGTGCTATCTTACATACAAAAGGCACATGAATTGTGAGGAAGGAAAGAGAAGGAATCCTGTGCATGCAACTCCTTAGTTAGTCTGTATGCAACTGTGTCTCCGTTTCCACAGGTGCCTATGTGTCAGAGAGTAGCTGTTGTATGAGATTAAATGCTTGAGCCCCCACATATGGATGAGTTTCTTCGTAGCTGGCACCCCCTGCTGGAGTAAACATTATCCCATCTGTGGCTGAACAGAAGACACTCCAGGAATGGATCTCTGGCTGCTATCCCTCAGGACAGGCTGTTCTGTGCAGCCTAATAAAGATTCCCTCATGTGTCCCTCTGCCTATACTCCATCGTGTTCTTGAGCCTGCTGCCTAAGCCAGGAGAACACATACTGACACTCCTCCCTGCCTTGAGGGTGACAGATAGGCATGCTCCTCCAAGATCTTTTCCTAAACAAAATCTCTGAAAAACAAGGCTGCTGGGTGGCCCCAGGGCCTTAACTGGGAATTCCTTGGCTGGAATGGGAATTCATTTGTGGGGTAGGGAATGGAAAAGCACCTGACAAACCTTGAGGCTAGCTTAAGTCACATCCATTGTGATCACAGAAGACCTCTGGGCTGGATACCCAGGTCACACAATATTTGGACATTTGGGGCAATGGGTATGATGGCTGTAAGAGTGGGAAGCAGGGTAGTTCAGGGTCAGCAATCAGTGGGCGGCTCACTTCCTTTCTATGTAAGTTAGGCCTCTGTTGATTAGACCTCTTGGGGGAAGTTTTTTGAGGGATATTGGAGTACAGTGAAGGAGTTTCCAGCGATTAAAAATGGTGGGGGGGAAGTGTAGAGAGAGAAAGGATTCTGAAAATTTTGAGCCCCCTGAAAATGCATCAGGCTGCCTTATTAGGTGCTGAGCTCCCAGATACTGGGAGTGTTTAAAAGAAACTTGGATGGATGACTACATGTTCAGGATGGGGAGCAGAATCTTGTTTCAGGTAGGGAATTGCATTGGATGACTCACATTGGCATACAAATGGAATGCAAGGTAAAATGAATATCAAAAGCTGCCTGGATGGGGGGGGGGATCAAGAGGGTATAGGATTTGTATCTAGGAAAGATTTTAGAGATCATCTTTTCTAACCCCCTCATTGAGCGATGGCCTTTGTCTGGAGGATGGTATCACTGGATCCAGTTGACTAGATGACAAATTCAGATTTTTGTTTTGTTTTCTTTTTAACATCATTTAGTAAGCTATTTCATTCTCTGAAAACTGCTTTTTCAATTCATTGCTTAGATGCCAAGAGGGAATGAGGACAGGAAAATCAAGGGGCATGGGCCCTGATAGTCTTTGGGGCCTCTGCTCTCACTTCATTTTGGGTTCCCTGGAACTGATTTGGGTTTTATTTAGGACTGGGTTCTCCTTCACACTAAGGGAGCCTCCTGTCCCACACACTGATACCTTAAACCATACCCTCCTCTTATTTCTGTTAAAGGTAATACCACCTTCCAGTTACCTAGTCTCTCAACCCTCAGGATCATACTGAATGATGGATTGGATTGGTTGGATTGGAGAGGGGAAAGACTGTAAACAAGGTCACCAATCAGGTCCTATTGCAATAGGCCAGGTGAGAGGTGACAAGGGTATGAATTTAGGGTAGTGGAGAGAAAGTGGCAGGTGGTACAGGTGGACCATTTGGTCCTTCTCCTAGAACCTATAGCCAATTAATTGCTTGATCTTCTCAATTTTAGGCTCCAGTGGCACTAGCCTCATTGCTGTCCTTCACACTAGACACTCCATTTCCCCACTCCCAGCATTTTCACTTATTGTCTCACACACCTGGAATTCTCTCCCTCCATATCTCCGGCTCCGGGCTTTGCAGCTTCCTTCAGGTCTCAGCTAAAATACCACCTTTTCCAAGAAGGCTTTCCTGTTCCCATTTAATACTTGTGCCTTTCTTCTGCTGATTATCTCCAATTTATCTTGTATATATCTTGTTTTTGCATAGATGTTTGCATGTGTTCTCTCCCGATTATACTGTGAGCCCCTGGAGAGCAGGAATTACCTGATATATGTTGTTTTTGTTCAATCATTTTCAGTCCTGTCTGACTCTGTGATCCCATTTGGGGTTTCCTTGGCAAAGATGCTGGAATGGTTTGTCATTTCCTTCTCTAGCTCATGTTACAGATGAGGAAACTGAGGCAAATTGGGTGAAATGACTCACCCAGGGTCACACAGCTAGTAAGTATCTGAATCCAGATTTGAACTCAGGTCCTCCTAATTCCAGACCCCAATACATAGTAGGCACATAATAAATGTTTGTTGGGACTGACACCAGACCTCCCTCCCTCCCTCTCTCTCTCTCTCTCTCTCTCTCTCTCTCTCCTCTCTCTCTCTCTCTCTCTCTCTCTGTCTCTCTCTCTCTCTCTCTCTTTCTCTCTCTCTCTCTCTCTCTGGAGGCAATCAGGATTAAGTGACTTGCCCAGGGTCACACAGCTAGTGTCTAAAGCCAGATTTGAATTCAGGTCCTCCTGACTCCAAAGCCAGTACTCTATCCATTGCACCACCCGCCACCTTCTCTCCACTCACATAGTCACTACCCTAAATTCAGACCCTCATCACCTCTCACCTGGCATATTGCAATAGGACAATTGATGACCTTGCTTACAGTCTTTGCCCTCTCCAACCCAACCTCCAAACAACTGTGAAAGTATTTTTTCTAAAGCACATATCTGACCCCTCAATGACTCCTCTTTGCCCCTAGAATAAAATACAAATGCCTGAGCCTAGCATGTAAAGCCCTTCATGGTCTCTCTCTAGCCTGTCTTTCTGAGTGGTTTACTTCCCTTTGTGTACACTACATCCCACCTATATGACCTATTCCCTCTTCCTTGAACTTGATTTTCTATCTCCTGCCTTTTTGTTTTGCCACCTTCTAGACTCTACCTGTTAGAATTCAGCTCCTTCAAGTCCCAACTCAAGTTGCTACTTCCTGTGGAAAGTAGTTAAACTCAGACCTTCCCCGAACTGCACCTCTACCTCATTGAAGTAGGACTACCTTTTCTGGTACAGGGCATACTGTGTTTAGTCAGTAGAATATAAGGTCCTTGAGGGCAGGCATTGTTCTTCCTTTTGTCTTAGCATCCCCAGTACCTAACTCAGAACTTTGCACTTGGGAGATGCTTTATAAAGCTTTGTTTAATTGAACTGAATTGTCTGTCTTCAGGCCTTTTTAGTACCATTATACTCAAAAGTAACCTCTTTCCCCAATATTATTCCTTCTGGAGAAGGAAGGAATGTTGATCCTTTGGGGAAGCTAAGGTCCCACCAGATTATGAACTCCAGAGACTCCTGGAATTACACACACACACACACACACACACACACTGATAGTGATATCAGCTCCCATGGTTTCAACTATCATTTTGGTTCAGATGACTCTCAGATCTATTGTTCAGTCCTAGGCTCACTCTATACCTCTGGTTTCCCATCTCCAACTGCCTTTCACAATTCTCAGACTGGAAGTCCCATGAACATCTTAAATTCAATACGTCTAAAACTGTACTCATGAACTTTGTCCCTAATGCCCCCGTCTTCCGTACTTCCCTGTTACTGCCAATGGTAAAATCATGCTGTCAATCACCAGGCTCACAACCTAGGTGTCACCCTCAACTCTTCACTCTCTCTTATCCCGCATATGCAATCTGTTGTCAAGGCCTGTCATTTCTACCTTCATAACACCTGTGACATAACACCTCCTTGCCTCCTCTGACTCAATACATGCTAGTTGACTGACCAACATGCTCAAAGTGAACATATTCACCTAGCCCCAGACTTCACTTCCATGAAAGGAAAGGAATGGAATAAGCATTTATTAATCACCATCTATGTGCCAGGCTCCATGCTAAGTGCTTTACAAATATTCTCTTATTTTATCACAGTGGAACTGTGTCCGCTCCGGTATCCAGACTTCTTTTCTCTTCATCAAGAGCCTTTTCTCCACCAAGTGTGAGGTCTAGTATGTGGAAGGTAAAAAACATTCCCTTTCCCTACTCAGAAAGTGCTACTTCTTGAGAAAGCCCCCTGTGGGGACTTTCCTTGTCCAGCCCTACCACCTCTCCTGCAGGTGGGTCAGTGGTCTCTGCAGCTGGCGAGAAGCATCCTGGGTGGCCAGGAATGGGGTAAGCCACACTCAGACCTTGGACTGACTTCACCTTCCCCTGTCTACACCTCTCCCTCATTGAAGACCCTCCTTCCCTGTCCCTATCTAGGCTGACCTAAATTGAAAAGGGAAGTAAACTGTGGTGAAGGGATTGAAATAGCTAGTGGTCACCCAGAGGCTACCAGAAGCCCTCCCCAACTCTACACCACACACACACACACACACACCCCTGTTTTCATGCCTGGAATGCTCTTCCTCCTCCCCTTCCTGGCTTCCTTCAAGAATCAGCTCAAGGATCACCTTCTGCAAGAGGACTTGCTCCATCCTCCTCCTCCTCTTCTCACCTTACTCATCCCTTCCCTGCGGTATTGTTAACTTCTTATTGTTGTTAACTCATTTTTTAGTTGTGTCTGACTCTTCATGACCCCATTTGGGGTTTTCCTGGCAAAGATACTGGAGTGGTTTGCCATTTCCTTCTTCAGCTCATTTTACAGATGAAGAAATTGAGGCAAACAGGGTTACATGACTTGCCCAGGATCACACAGCTAGTAAGTGTCTGAGGCCAGATTTGAACTCACTCCAGGCTTGGCACTCTATCCACTGTACCACCTGACTGCCCTCCTGATATTACCTTCCATTTATATTGTATATATCTTACAGGCAGTTATTTGCATGTTTTCCCCCCATTTGAATGTAAACTCCCTATGGGCATGGATCATATTTTTTCATTTCTTTGTATTCTGAGCATTTAACACAGTGTCTGGCACATGAAAGACTCTCATTAAATGCTTGTTGACTTGGAGAGAAGGTTAGGGGATTATGGGGGTCATAGATGTCTTTAGAGATCCAAACAGAAGTCAAGATGGAGCAAGAAAATGCCCAAGGGTCTAAGAAATTGCTAAATGTGGGGTTTGAAAAGTTTGAGGTACACCACATGGTCCAAATACCAGGAGATACCAGAGGAAAGATGGTGAGAAAGCAACGCTAACAGGAAGTCTGTGTTAGGCATGTGCTCTATTTTTATTGTTGCTGCCCAGGAGGCGCCCCAGGCAGGGGAGAGACAAGGGAGTGATGGGTTCCTCCCCTGCCCACCAGCCCAGGACCATGCTCTGACTCTCTCTTCTCTCCTCTTCAGCATCTCCCATACCCTCTCTCATTCTGTATCTCCTGCTCCCACATCCATCACCTTCAGGGTTCCCTCTCACAGCCCCTACCCTCCCCAGGTCCACCTTAGGGCAGAGGTGGGAGAACAAGGAAAGGACATTGGGAGCTGCTTCCCGTTACCCCCCAACCACCCACCCAGCAGGAGTCCAATCCCCCAGCCACACCACAGGCTTCCTGAGAGTAATCTATCTCCTCACCTGGGGTTAATGGGAGGAGAAAGGTCAAAGGACATCTATGAGGTGGAAGTGAATTGTTCCAAGCCTGTGTGCTCTACTCTAAAAACTTGAACTTGGCCAGGAAGGCAGATGGGAGGATCAAGGAAGCAGAAGGACAGGAGAAGAAGGCTCTGTGCCCTCTCCCAACTCCAGTCCTGTTCCAGGGCACTAACTGGGGCAAGACAGACCCCTGCATCAGAGGGGCAGATAGTGCCGCTGCCGCCTCTCTCCGCAGGAGTCGGAGTGCGGGGGTGTAGGGCAGGGGGCCAAAGTAATGCAAACATCTCTCTGTGGGCTCCAATACATCTAAGACTTCAAGTCAACATAGGGGACCGCGGACACTCAGGGCTGGGCAGGGGGGCCGTGGGGAGACTTGGCAGGGGCCTGGCTGTGAGGGAGGAAGGGCTGGTCAGTGCGGTGAGGAGAAAGCCTTCAGAGGGGTCTCAGAATCAGTGGAGAACGGTTCCAAGGTGTCATGTGATGGGAGGCAGTCTTGGGCCGTGGGGGGTGCCTCCGGTTGGCCTCTCTGCCTTTAGAGCACCTCATGCTGCTGCTGCGTAGCCTCACTGACAACCTGGGGGGAGAAACCCACTCAGTTTATCTCCTGCCCCCCCCCAATTCCTCTAATTGTACTTCACCACCCTCCTGGCATCTCTAATCCCTCAGCACAGGAGACCCCAGGCATGAGCCAGCTATGACCTAAGCAACATGGCTTTGGGAATAGCATCTCTATGAAGCCAAACTGCACCCCCATAAAACATACTTTTCCCCCTCCCATCTTCTCCTCCATCCTCTGAGACTGAAGAAGGTGAAGACCCAAGGACCATACTCACTTCCCCATCCCGGGTCTCAATGGTCTTTATCATCACTGTCTTCTTGGTATGCACCTCAGAGCCCCTCTGCTCAGGGCTTGTCTCTGTAACATCACACACAAAACCAAATTGACTCAAGTTCCCAAGGTTTGATACCCCCAAGGTCCTTCTCCCTATCCCCTCTTCCTTCTCTTCAGCAACCAGCTTCTATCAAACGCCACCCCACCCTTGTCAGCACTCATCCCAGATCAGACCCAATCTATCGGGAAAATATACCCTAATCCTAACTATCTGATACATTTGGATGAGCCTCTGGTCTCAGCAGTGGATGGGATCCTAAGACATCATCCTGACCCACTACTGTGCCCGAGGGTGGCTCCAGGCTTGGGATGGTCCAGAAAGTCAGGGGATCCTCCGAGGGAATGAGTCAGCTCATCCCCTCTGTGGGTAGTAGCCGAATTTGAACTGGGACTTTCCCCCATCCCAGAAGCCCAACCCTTCCACATTCCCTTGGCGAGCCTATAGAGGGAGTCAGCTTACTATCCCTGAAAGGAAAGTGAGCCGTGCGTCCATCACTAATTAGTAGTGTGACATAAGCAACTTATTTATTCCCTATGCACTTCAATCGTCTCATCTCTAGAATGGGAAAAACTATCTTCCCTGCTTACTTCACCAGGTTGTTGTGAGGATCTAATAGGATGTCATAGGTGAACGAAATTTGGAAGGTACAAAGTGCTTCACAAAGACGAGGTATTATTTATTTTATATTACTCATGGGCCTGCCCTAATCCTGCTTCAAATCTTAGTCCCTTTAGGGCTTGTGGCATTGGACAAGTGCAGTAACACTCCTAGATCACACACTGAAAGGACCAGCAAACCAGCACACAGGGGGAGTAAGAGGGTCAGGCCCGCACTCCATATGCCCGCCACTAGCACACCTCTGTCTGCTCCTACTTACCATGCCCCAAGAATCTTCCTCTTCTCACTTGACTCGTGTCCATATTTGGCTCCCCTCAGTGCTCCGTCTCCATCCCCACAGCTCCATCCTCCCTCTCTTTCCCACTGTTGTCTCTTATACATGGCCCTATCACCTCCCACCACACCCCATGCCCCAGCATGGCCATGCTGCCCAGCCTTGAGCTGCTCCCCTGACTAACTCACCTCTGAAGTTCAGGGCTGAGAAGCTTTGGATGGGGAGGTTGATCCTGAGGAGAAGATACCAAATGTCCAAGATAGATTAGGAAACTCTCCCTTTCCTACCTCTCCCATGATGCTGGCTCTCCCTCCTCCCATGAAGCTTTAGAAGGCACTTTGGAGACCGTCCAACGTCCTCATTTTACAAATGAAGAAAGTGAGGTCCAGGAAGTGATCTGAATGCACTTTCCACTACACTCCCAGCTACTCAGGCCCATAGCTCTCTCCACCTGTTGTGTTGTAGACAGACATGGCTCAAGGGATACACTTCAGATGCCAATGCCCAGCTGTGGGCAAGAGCTACAAAGATCTACAGGGTAGATTGAGGAGGACAAACAAATGCCCTAGGGAACTGTTACCCCTGGAGGGATCACCATGTTCACTCCCTGACCCCATGAACATTCAACTCATCTGCCAGTCACGAATCAGCAGATATCCTCAACATGGCAGCCAGCTGTTTCTATACATACATACATACAAATACAAAGGGGATCTTAGACTAAAGTAAGGAATCTTCAGCCTGTGGAGCAAAACCAGTTCTCAGGTTAATTTTATTCAGTTCATGGTACTAAGAGAGATTAGTTACCCATTTGTGCCTATAGTTGTAAAAATATGTCTTTAAAAAGCATTGAAAGTTTCTCTCTCTGTGTCTCTGGCTCTGGCTCTGGCCATGGCCCTGGCTCTGTCTCTCTGTCTCTCTGTCTCAGTCTCTCTCTCCCTCTCTCTCTCTCTCTCTCTCTCTCTCTCTCTCTCTCTCTCTCTCTCTCTCTCCTCTCTCTCTCTCTCTCTCTCTCTCTCTCTCTTCCCCTCCATCTCCCTCTGTCTCTTTCTCTCTGTCTCTGTCTCTCTCTCTCTTTTCACCTCTGTCTCTGTCTCTCTCTCTGCCTCTCTCCATCTCTCTCTCTGTCCTTCTTTATCTCTCTCTCTCTCTCTCTCCCTCCTTCTCTCTGTCTCTGTTTCTGCCTCTCTCTGTCTCTCTCTCTTTCTCCCTTTGTCTCTCTCTCTCTCCCCCACCCTCTGTCTCTCTCTCTCTCTTCCCTCTGTCTCTGACTGCCTGTCTTTCTGTTAGACTGTTGTTCCATTTCTGAATGGGTGCCCCATTCCCCTGTGTCTCTTTCAGCTATTATCCCCAGACTGTTAATTTCACTTTTCTCTCCCTCTCTTCTCTGTCTATCCTCTCTATCTTCTATCCTTTAACTGGTCCTAATTTTATAAAATGATTTGTTGCATAGAATTTTATGTTCCCATTTTAAAAACTTCTCTCTTTAAAAACAGACTTAAGGCAACTCGGCAGCATAATAGATAGAGCATTGATCCTGTAGTCTGGAAGATCTGAGTTCAAATTTGACCTTAAACACTTATAAGCTGTGTGACCTTGGGCAAATCACTTCACCTCAGTTTGCCTCAGTTTCCTCATCTGTAAAATGAGGATAATAATAACACCTACCTCCCAGGATTGTTGTCATGATCACATCAGTTTAAAATTGTAAAGTACTTAGCACAGTACATTGTGTTATATAAATGCTAGCTACATTATTATTATCATGATTAAGTTTATTTTTAAATTTTACTTTTATAGTCCTCAACTGCTGTTTTCAGTGAACAAATCAGTGGACCTTGATAAAAAAGATTTCCAAAAAGATCAAAAGCATACAAAGAAACAAATAAGATGTTATATTGTTATTATTATAGAAGTTCATATCTATGTCTATATCTTTCTATAATACAAGCATGTATACATAGTCCTTTTAGCAAACTATAAATATTTGGAACTTTATGATTTTGTATATCATTTTACCATGAAAAAAATGTTTGTTTTTTTAGGTTCCCCCCTTTTCCATTAGACTGTCAGTATTGAGTGTCCAGCCCATTGCTGAAGTAAGAAACACCCATAAAAGGCCCCTGCACCAAGCTAATTCCTATGAGACCAATTTTTTATGCTTTCCCCCCTTGGTAGTGTTTTCCTGACCTCACACCATGAAGAACACCCTTCACTTTCAACCTCTTACTTTCAGATTCAGTTCCTATCTTCCGCACTCTCCTTTCTGGAATTGCTATTTTTGTGAATGCTTGCTTGTGACCTTGACCTGGCCTTAGGTCTATTTATTGGCTTGGATCCTGTTTGGAATCAACCCTTCCTTCTCCCCTGACTCCCAGCCCTTGCAGTCTCCCTTGGAGTTTCTGTTTGCTTTTCTCTAGAACTAGGGCGGTCACTTCCAGCTCTGACAGCCTGTGATTTGATATGTATATTGCAGTTAATCTCTCTCACTAGCTGCCCACTACCCCCACCACTGTCCCTGGGCAAGACTACATATCCTATAGGCTCAGTGAACAGTCTCTGACCCTCCACTCCCAGGGCAGGCCCAAGTCTACCCCACCTGCTTTCCTCGCCCTCCAGGAGCTTTCTGTAGGTAGCAATTTCCACATCCAGCGCCATCTTGACATTGAGCAGGTCTTGATACTCTCGTAGGTGCCGGGCCATCTCATCCTTCAGGTGCCGGATCTCCTCCTCAAGCCGAGCGATGTTATCCTGGTAGCCATTTGCCTCACTGGCAAATCGTTCCTCCAGCTCTCTCATCTGCCTCATCAGTGAATCATTCTGGGGGGAGAGGGCCAGGGAAGAAATGGGATAAGACACAGATAGGAGAGCCCCTGAGGATGACATGGAAGGAACATAGGAGCTGAAAAAGTGACATGGAGTCATAATTATAATAACTCATATATCTATAGTGCTTTAAGGTTTGTAAATGAGATAGGTTGGGAAATATCATCCTCATTTTGTAGACGAGGAAGCTGAAGGCCAGTGGGAGTAAAGAGACTCAGCCAAGGTCACCCAGTTAGTTAGCGTCATGGAAGTCAGGTTCCTAGTACTCACAGTGCCCTTGAGTGCATCAATCTCACAGGTATAAGACTGGATCTGGTGCCGGTATTCCATCATCTCCTGCTTGGCTTGTCTTAGTGCATCATTATTCTTGTTGGCTGCCTGGGTAAGGTCAGATACCTGTGCGACATCGGAGATCAGAGGGTATCCATCAACCTCCAAGAAGAGGGAGGAGACAGTTGCAAAGACCCTAGCCCAGGGGAAGAGACAAAAGAGGGCTCCTCCTCCTTGAACGAAGACTACTGTCCACCCTCTTCACTCAAAGTCAGAAGCTTTGGGAAGGGACCTTGGAAGACACGGAACAGATTGGGTATGAGGGTTACCTCGGTTCAAACCAACCCACCTTGGACTTGTACCATTCCTCAGCTTCAGAGATATTCTTGGCAGCAATGGTCTCATACTGGGCCCGGATATCCCTAAGTGCGGCAGTCAGGTCTGGCTTAGACACATCCATTTCTACCTGGACTTGCTGCTCCTGGAGTTGAGCCTGGAGTTCACGGATCTCCTACAGGAGTTGGAAAATGGGCTATGGGTCAGGTTTGTGGACTCTACTCAATCCTCCCCCAAACCTCTGCTCTCCCCTCAACTGTGCAGTCTCTCCTAGATCCAACATCCCTAGGATATTCTGGGCATGTGGTCCCCTGGGAAAGGGGAAGAGATCTTACCTCTTCGTGGACTTTCTTTAGGAAGGCAATTTCCTCATTCAGAGACTCAATCCTACGTTCCAGGTCAATTCGGGCCAGCGTGGCTGCATCCACATCCTGGCCAAGAGGTGGGGTAGGAAAAAGAGAGAGAGAACAACAGCTCAAGTCACAGTGACCAGCAAAGGTCAACCTGAAGATGGACAAGGCCATGGGGACAGGACAGTGATGGAAGGGTCTCAGGGGAACTCAACTCACCGCTCTAAAAGCAGCCAGATTATTCTCAGCTTCTTCCTTCAGCTGGATCTCCTCCTGCAGTCTGGATGGAACACACAGATAGTCAAGTGAATGATGGATGGGGCAAAAAGGGTGGGGCTAGAGGCTCAAGTCCCTAGCAGCCTGGCTCAGCGGGCATAGGGATAGAAGGATAGGGCTGAAGAGCCGTCCAGGGAGGGGATGGACTAAAAATAACTAACATTTGTATGACATTTTCAGTTTTATGAAGGCCTTTCCTCACAACTCTGTAGATAGTATGAATATTATTATCCTTATTTTACAGAAGAGAAAACTTAGGCTCAGTACGTAAATAACCAGCCCAAGAACAAATAGCTAGAGAGAACAGACTCAACATGTAGGGAATTCTAAAAACAGTCTTCTTCCCATTGTCCCAAACTGCCTATGCCACTAGTTCATATTTCTCCAGTGATTTTTGTTTTACCAGGTACCTTCTCCACACATGTGGTTATACAAGCATTTCCCTCAGTTTACAAATTGGAAAACAAGATCAGGGAAGTTTTTGTCCAAGGTCACAAGTTAATCAATGTGAGGGCCAGAAATTTCTTGATGCCAATATAGTGTTGCTACGCTATTTTGTCCCTTTAAGGATGGGGTTTCAGCGCCAGCACAGGCAAAGGTAGGGACCGAGGGTACCAGGCCCCTCTTTACACTTCCTGAATGAGGTCCTCAAGGCGGAGGGTACAAGGAGTGACCCTCCTACTGGATTCACACCCTGCTGAGAAAGATGGGACCAAGTTAAGTGAGGATTCAGCCAGACTGCTCAGGAGGTTAGAGATAGGACCAATGGGAAACCAGGGAGCCAATATAAGCCCTAAACTTCCCACTCCCACCGTTTTTAGCCTTACAATCTTGGCAAGTCTATCTTCCCATATTTCTCCCAAACCATTCCTTAGACCACAGCTCCTTCTTCATTTCTCCCTTCTCACCCCAGGGAATGTCTGTCCCACATACCTCATAGCATCCCTTGTGCTCTGTACTCTCAAGGCTGGGGCAATCTCAATGTATCTCTAACTAACAATTTGATTCAGGGATTGAAGGATTTAGAGCAGTAAATAGCATTTGAGACCATTTGCCCCAAACATCTCATTTTACAGATGAGAAACCTGAGGCCTGCTGAGACAAAGTGATTCTAGAAAATTTCTGATACCAAATTCAATGCTTGTTTTACTACTGGGACGCTCAAAGCTTCCCAGAAGGGAGGAAGGGAGAGGAATTTGTGGGGCTTGGAGGCCTCCTAAAGTGCCTGGGATGGGGGTAGGGGAAATATAGACTCCTGGGACTTAGCACAGCTGTTAGCTTCCCTCGGGGAGCTGCTCAGAGAATCACAGAATGTTAGATCTGAAAGGAGGAGTGTTGCTCTGAGGTCCCTCCCAGCACTAAATATGTGATCATATAGCCTATGGTATTCTGAGTGGCAGCTGCCCAACATCTCTCTGACTAAGCCTATGAGACATAGGTTGGCAGAACAGGTTGGCTTTGGGTTCCCTGAGGGATGAAAAAATTCAAAAATAGCCTTGAGAAACCCTATGGATTAGTGTCTAGTCCCACCCTCTAATTTTACAGTCTTGGAAACTGAAGCTCAAAGAGGTTAAATGACTCACCCAGGATCACACAGCTACTAAATAGGTAGAGCTAGAATTTGAACCTTGATTCCAACTGCTATATTCTTTCCACTGTACCAAGCTGCCAAGGAAGAGAATTTCACCCCAGAAGTCATAGGACTAGCTATTACTAACCACTAACAGCTGGAGAGTCTGTTGAGGAGACACCTTAGTCTGCAGACTAGGCCAATTCCAAACTGATTCACTGATAAGCAACCAGCCCACTTTTGATCAACACTGGGCTTGATAATGACCTCCCCCTTAATGGGGCAAAGTGGTTGGGAGGAGGCCCTTCCTGGAAGGTTCCTCCCTCTCCCCAGTCACAGGGGTGGGGACATAGAGTGTGACTAGGGAGCAAAAGACCCTGGGCCAAAGAGCCCACCTCACTCCCAATTCCCCACTTTGTAAACACCTCTGTAAACACCTGACTTCTAAGTGTCTTCCACCCTTGGTCTAACTATGCTCAGCCTGCCCATACCCCACCCCATTCCTTCCCCACTCCCTGCCCCCCCATGCCCCAACCATCAACACGGATGTCTAGGGTCCTTCTAGTTCTAAAATTCTGTGAATCTTTGAAAATGCTTTAAGTACTTCCCCTGGGGGATAATGGGGGGGTAAGGACAAGAATTCCCCAGAACCTAAGGTTTTCTTGGCTTCGACTGCTCCCCCCACCCCATCCTCTCCAATGCACTAGAGCGGATAAGACCCTCTCCCTGCCAAACCCAGACAATCAGGGACAGCTGTCCCAGGAGCCTAGCTAGCACAATGTTGGATGTAGACAAAATATTTTGACAGCTGAGACTGCTTGGCCTAGTGGAAATTGGACAGGATTTGGAGTCAGAAGCACTGGATTCTAAACCCACCAGTGCTGCTTCATAGTTGTGGGACTTCCGAGCAAATCACTTAACCCCTAGGTAAATCAGTTTACTCATTTATAAAAATGAAAGGATAGGAAGAGAGGATCTCCTCTCCAGCTCTTAAGCTATAATCCTATGACTCTAAAGTCCCTTCCTCTCTCTATAAAATAAGGCATCTTCCAAGCTCCCGGATAGCCCGAGAGAGAGTTCGGTGACTCTCCCCTGGGGGAGGCTCACAGCTGCCCCGACTCCTAAGAAGGCCCATATCCCTATTCCTCCCAGCCCCCAGCACAAGTCCTCCCTCTCTGTTTAGACAAAGCCCAGGGCCCGGGCAGGGGCGCAGTCACCTGGCCTTGAGCCTCTGAAGGTCGTCCAGCAGGTTGTCGCGCTCCACGTCCACTCGGGCGCGCTGGTTGGTGAGCACCTCCACCTGGCGCCGCAGCTCGCGGAGTTCCTCTTCGTAGAGCTCGGCGATGCGCGTGGGCTCCCGGCCCTTGAGCCGGTTCACCTCGGCGGCCAGCACGGAGTTCTGCTGCTCCAGGAAGCGCACCTTCTCGATGTAGTTGGCGAAGCGGTCATTGAGCTCTTGCAGTTCCACTTTCTCATTGGTGCGGGTGGTCAGGAACTCCTGGTTCACGGCGTCGGCCAAGTTGAAGTCCAGCAGCTCGCCCGCCCCATAGGAAGAGGCAGCGGTGGCGCGGGGAACACCCAGGCGGCTGCTGCGGAAGGCCCCCAAGCCTCCGGCTCCCCCAGAGCTGCGGGACACCTGGTACACGCGGGAGGACACGGAGCTGGAGGAGCCCTTGGAGCCGAAGCCCGCCCTGGGGAAGGAGGGCGAGCTAAGAGGGGAGCCCAGAGAGAAGCTTGGGTTCCCCCCAAAGGTGCGCCGGTAGGAGGACACGCGCTGGCTGGAAGAGTAGGACTGGCTCATGGTGGCTGGCAGGCCGGCTGGACAGCTGGAGTGAGGATGTGGTGAGGGGGAGACAGGGCCCCTCGCAGAGGCGGCTATTTGTATCCCTCCTGACATCAACCCCCTACCCGCCCCTCCTCCTGACAGCTGCAGGATCCCACTGTCCTGCCAGCAAAGTTCCCTGGCCCCTAAGTGGGGGGAGGGAAGGCAAGGCAAAGCAAAGCGGGGGCAGGGATCCAGACCCGAACATTGAGGCCTCCTCCAGTGCAGAGGCAGGGACCCCAGGCTGAACAAATGGCAAGGCGTGGAGGGGATGTCATGGAAGAGGAAGGCGTGGAGGGGATGTCATGGAAGAGGAAACCAAAGTGGAACAAAGTCTAGGCTCAGCCCCCCCATTCGCTGGGGGAGCTAGCCTTCCCCATTACAGAGAGGAAAGAATAGAGACAAATAGTGAGCCATCCATCATGCCGAGACAGACATAAACACCCCAATCTTGGTTCTGAGCTTCATCACAGACCAGTTCTCTCTTCCTGTAGCACCCTTTTTTCTGAGGAAAGGAGAGTAGAAGGAAGGGGTAGTGATCCACCCACGGTGGTGAGAGGAAAAAACACCCCAGCCCTGGTTCTGGGTTTCATCAGGACCAGCTCTCTCTCTGTAACACTTGACCTCTCACAACCCCCTTTTCAGAAGGCCAGTCCCCGACTCTAGCTTCTCCCTCTTTGGGGACTAAGTTGGGGACCACCAGCTGGGACATGGGCTGTGATCCTGGGGGATATGCCCCTCCCTCCGTTCTCCTGACCACAGAAAGCTGAATACCTGTTATTTCCATGAGAACAGGAAGGGTTTGCACAATACTTTGTGTGATCTCATTTGATCTTTACAACAACCCTGAAAGGTAGGTGTTCTTATTCCCATTTTACAGATAAGGAAACTGAGGCTGGGAGAGGTTAAGTGACTTGCCCAAGGTCACAACATCTAAGTCTCTGAGGCTGGATTTGAAATCAGGTTTTCCCATTTGTAGGTGTAGGTCTCTTTCCATTGATGCCTAAAGTGAGGCAAAGATCTAAGGACCAGAGAACCTGCCTTCTAGGAGGCAAAGATTGAAGGAGAAAAGCACAATGGACGAAACCCAAGGACCCTAGAATCCATTCTGCCATATGGACTGTGGACAAGTGTGTCCCAGTTTCTCTCAAGCCTTGTACTTTTCTCCCTGGACTTCTCTTGGACTGCTTATACCCTGATTAGTATAAACAACAGGATGATTTCTCAGAATGAGGACCTGGCCTGACATCAACAGCCAATTCAACAATTATCCTCTGGCTTTCCTATTCCTTCCTTCAGTACTGCTCCTTCCTCCTTCCCCATGACCACCTCCTACCCACCACCCTAGGCCTATTTCTCTGATTCATACCTCTTTGCCATCTCCTCCCTCCCTCATCCACCAGCAACACCCTGACACATGCATCGCAGGGGTTTGTGTATCTTGTCCGGAGCCTGCTTGTCAAACACAGCCATTTTCCTGGCAGCAACAGCTGCCAACCCTAAATACCAGAGTTGGGCCACAAGGTATTTATAGAGAAGAGAATGCGGTAAGCCTGGAACATAGGACCCTGGACATAGGAAACAGGAGAATAGTGAGAGGCTGGTTGAGGGGTATGGGAAACTTAGGGGCACGGGGGTGGTGGTGACTGAGAAGTCAGAAAGAGTGTAAAAGTCAAGTCATGACTTGATGTGACAAAATCCAATCCACTCTAACTCCAGGGGCTCTGGTATTCTTGAAGAGATGGGGCTTTCCAAAAAGTTCACTGTTCTATCCAGTCAACTTCTCCCCACTCCCCTCACCCAAGTCCCATTAATATAAATATGTCATGAATGCCATTTCCTCCAATAAACATTCCTGAAATTGCTGAGTGGATCTGTGTCTCTAGATATGTCCTTTGGGTATGAGTATCTTTCACATCCCTCACACATTTAGAATGTAATTTTCTAGTGGGCATCAAGAAGGTAATAATAACAACCGATCAATGGGTCAGTGATATCAAGGTGTGTGCTCCCTCCCCTAGCATACGTTACCAAGCATCCATCATGGTCCTCTTCGAGAAAGAAGGACAAACAGTAACAACAACTAACCATCCATTTCCTACTCATACTCTTCTAGTCTTGTCCACGTCCTCTCATAAATTCTCCTTTGAGAATCTGCCCAGCACACTGGAGGGCTTGCCCTACATACTTTTCCATTTGGTGGGTACAAATGCAGACCTCAGTTGTCCATCAGTTCACTCACCACATGACTTGCCCAACTCCTTTTCTGCTTATACTATAGTTATTTATATATGTATAATTTATATTTAAACATATCAAATTTATCAATATGTTAATATCAATTATTAAAATATTAAAAATATATTTAAATTTCTATATATTGATTGTATATTTTCTGCCTTTTCTTGCACATAAGCCTGGGAATTCTCTGCTACCTATGTGTGCCTGCCATATATGTATCTGTCTACTGTCCTTTAGGTTCTCCCACAAAGTGATTTTTTTCAGAGCTCACGATGTTCCATGGTTCTCAGCCTATAACCTCACCAGGAAAATATTGGGTTGTTTTTTTTTTTTTTGGTATCAAGAAGAGCAGTTGGAGCTCATTAAAAGCCCTGAACATGTTCTCAAAAGCAGTCCAATTCACTCTCCTCCTTCTACTCAATTCTGGCCCCACTCATTTGTCCATCTACAATCACTGTCCAAGAGTCAGAGGACTAACCCAGTGATGGGGTTCCCGTCCAGCTACATGTCATAATCTTGGGGAATTATTTGTCTTCATCCATTTGTCTTTTTTTTTCATTGCATAAATTGCTAAGCCAATCTCTTTGGGGTAGCCAGGGAATTCACTGAGGGAGTTCTATGACATCCTGAAGCCTGATGTAATCCAATGCCTTCCACAAACACCAGAATTCCTTAAAATCTATAGGGAATCTGCTCTAGTAGGTCTAGGCATGGAACGTATTCTATGACAATAACGAACATATTTCTCCCTCTTTTATGCTTGGATTGATATCATAATCACAGGATTATTGAACCAAGTTATTCCTATGATTGTGTCTATCAAGGAATTTTATATCATATGTATAATAGTCAACTTTTGGAGAGCTCTTTTTTTTGAAGTTGTTGACATGTTTTATTTTGATGCAGCAGATATCCAGCAAACACCCAAACAAATCCCCTGCAAAGTAAGTTTTAGAAAAAGTAAAAATATAATTCACAAAAAAGAAGTACATATCCCTTAACGCTTAACATTGATAGCATGGTACTAACATTAACTATTGTATTTGTATTTGGCCAAAGTTCTGTTATTTCTCTATGTGGACATTATTCACATTGTGGTGGTAATTATATATATGTATATGTGTGTATATCTTCATACATATTTCTCTACATTAATAGTCACATTGTAGTGGTAATTATATATATGTATAAGTATATATATATATGTGTGTGTGTGTGTGTGTGTTCATATTTCTCTATATTGACATTCACATTGTAGTGGTAATTATATGTATGTATATGTGTGTATATAAATATATACATATGTATGTACATATATGTATATATATTATATATATACACATACCTATATGTAGAATGAATGAATATATATATACGACATATATAATTATATATGTAATATGCCACATATTACTTTTTACTCTGCTTCTATCCCTCTGCATCACTTCACATAAGTCTTCTCATGTTGCACCAAATCCTTCATATTCATCATTGCTTTCAGTCAACAATCGTCTATTACATTTATATAACACAGCTTGTTCATCCATTCCTCAATCGTTGGACGTATTTTGTTTCCAGCTTTTTTAAAAATTACAAATAATGTTCTTGTTAAAATTTTTGTACATATGGATGTTTTCTAGCTGTCACTAACATCCTTGGGATATAGTCCCAGTAATGGACTCTCTGGGTCAAAGGGTATGGAGAATTTAGTAATTGTGCAACTTAAAATTGTTTTCCAGAGCCGCTAAGCCGATTAAGGACTCCAACAGTGAGCAGAATAATAATAACTGATATTTATCATCAGTGTTTGCACAGGGTTTATTTTATCTACTTCGATCTCAACAACCTTTGTGAGCTAAGCACTACAAATACCTTTTCTCTCCTTTTACAGATAAGGAAACTAAGGCTCAGAAAGGTGAGATGACTTTCCCAGGATCCCACACTAAGCATCTAAAGTAAGATTTGAAGCTAGATCATCCTGGCCCCAAGTCCAGCATTCTGCCAACTATGCCAACCTAACTCATAAATATGATTTCCTATTTTTTACCATTTTTGTTAATTTGATGGGTGGGAGGTTATACCTCAGGATTGTTTCAAATTGCATTTCTCTGATTAGTAGTGATTTCGAATATTTTTCATGTGGTTGCTAATAGTTTGTATTTTTTTTCTTTTGAAAACTTTTCATATCCTTGAACAACTCATCTATTGGGAAATTATTGCTCTAAATTGATAGGCTTAAGACAATTCCCTACAGATTTCTGATGTTAAAGTTTACCAAATATATTACATGGAAATATTGTTTTTTCCAATCTATATTTCTCTTCTGATTTCCAACTTATTGAGTTTATTTGTCTAAAGATTTTTGAATTTTATGCATTTGAAATTGTCTATTTTGTCCTTTGTGATCTCTCTATGCCATATCTGGTTAATTTGGACAGCACATTGATGCATTCTTGGTAGAGCTGTGAATTGGTCTAACCATTTGGAATTATTCAAAGAAAGTAACTAAAATGTCCATCCTCTTCAACTCAGGGATTCTACTGTTAGGGATATGACCCAAAGATGTCAATGATTAAAAAGAAAGGTCCCATAAACACTAAAATATTTAAAGCAGCATTTTTTTTTGTAGTAGCAAAGACATGGAAAGAAAGCAGTTATCCATTGATTGGGGAATGGATAAACAAAGTGAGATACAATGCTGGAAGAATGAGTAATATGAAGAATATTGAGGAGCACTGGATGACTTCACTGATGTAAAGTGAATTAAGCAGAGCCAGGAAAACAATATGCACAATGACTAAACAATGC